CATTGTAAGGCGCACTATTTTCTTCTTTTAGAGAACTAGAGGCCCAGTGCACTTGCACAGGTAGGGTCTTTATGCCTGGCAGATGATCAGGGTCGATCAGGTTCCCCCACCTCCCCACCTCTCCACCTCCCCAGCTCCTTCTTCCCTCCCCACCTGCGGCCACTGCCACTGGTCGCCTGCCATGTTCCGTGCTACCCCCTCGTAGTAAGCGCACTTCATAGCAAGCGATCTGCTGGTCTCCCGGTGGATCTCCTGAGGGGACAGTTTGCATATTAGCCTTTAATAATATAGGATAACACTATTCAAAGAATCTTTTACAATACTTCTCTAGGTTTGTAAATGATATCATCAAAGTTACTTCATTTTCTGTGCCAGTGTAATCAACTGAAAACTTTTTGAGGGCATGTGAGCTTGTAACATTTATGGGACTGGAACTATACTCACGACAGTGCTGTCTGTGTAATAGATTTTCCATAATTAAGAGGAATATTGCAATAGCAGTGACATTGTTGTACCCAGGATTCCGAATTGGCAAGAACTCTGCATGTCGAGAGAGGACACCTTTCCCAGTCTGTACTGCTAGCTGAACTCAGAAAAATTAATTCTATTTCTTTCCTTTCCTATTCCCTCTTCCTCTCTGGGTTTTCACTTTGTCTTCTAGGCTGCCATTTTTGCAATGCTGTAACCACTGCATGTAAAGCTCTTCCTGTCCCACATCAGCCTTTCTAGCCCTTGTAGCTTCCACTCAATAGTTTGGAATTTATAATGCAAGGACTGACATCAGAATTTAGTGAATATTTTGCTTCATTTTCATGACGTAGGTAGCCCACCATTTGGGTTGTTATTGATGTTCTTTGTGAACGGTGACGCTGAGATGAGCTTGGCGTGCAGGATTAAGTTTAGAGAAGCAGAGGGCTACCGCTCGCTCAGGCGAGTAGCAAAAGCCCCCAAAGCCCTCGTGGCTTTTATTTGCGGAGTACAGCAAATAACAATGGAATACAGCAAGTGACAATGATTAACAGGTATGCTTTTGAGATCATCTGAGCTAAGTTATACATTATACTATTAATTTCCTATGTTATGCAAAGACCCTTTCCACCTGCAGCAGTGCACCCTCCCTTGAACTTTTCCATGCCCTCATGGACTATTTATCACCTCAAGGAAAGTTCTGCCTCTGAACAATAAGTCTTGCGTGCAAGACTTTGTTCTGACGTGGCCCGCTTGCAGGTTCCCGCCTTTTCCTGGCAGAACGTCCTCTTCTAGGTAACTTCATTCCGCTTGACCGCTACATTTTCCCCCTTTTTAGTTTTGCTGCAGGTTTGAATCATGACAGAAGATAGCAAAGCTATTTCATTATAAGGTACAGGGGTGACACAGAAATCAGTATGGTTCCAATCACACTTTAACTGTAATCGCTTTTGCAAACTAACAATTTGGTCCCCTAATAAAACTACTGATTGTTCAAGATCGGCTAATTGTTCATTGATTTCACTATCAATATGTTATTGAGAATTCCATAACTGTTCTGAATCTTTATGCCAGTCTTGAACAAAAGTAGCAGTTTGGACTGATCGCTGTAATGCTACCCCAGCTGCTGCAGCTGTCAATGTTATAGCAATTAATCCAAGAATTATAGTGATTAGCATGCCAATAAACCTTTTTGACCTCTTTAATATTTCTTCTGCAATGGCTTGAAGAGCTCTAGCTAGAGAACTTTCCTGCCATCGTCGATCTATCTGTACATGTAACCATATTCCTGTTTTGGCTCGCAATAGATAAAACTCTCTCTACTGTGATTAAAAGGTACAGAGTTATTTACACAAGTTAATAAGGTACAATTAAAATAAGATGTTTCCCTAGTAGTTTGATTCCATTGGACTGGTCCTTTCAAGGATTAGTGGTGTTTTTAGCCACACTCAACCAGGCTTGATTACCCAGTTGCAAACAACGATCACCCAGTCCCAGGCAAACAGGCATTCTGAAAACTCCTGTCGAATAGTTGTTCATTCTTGTTCCTTCTTCATCTGGTATCATAGGCCCACGATCTTCAAAAAGTCTAGGCATCCAATTAGAGTCATTAGTTACAGGGCCTTCCATGGGCAGTCACAAGACGCTCCCCTTCCTGGCATAGGCGCTTCACCTGTCCCCATGTAGGTGGAGGGGTGTTTCGGGTGCAAGGCAACGGCACGCGAATTGTTTGTCCTCTCTGGATGGTTAGC